GTTTATCTTCTCCTTAGTTTCTATTGTCCTAAGAGATGTATCAGTAAACATATTGCTACAAGAGATGTCCAAGATTTTGGTGCCTATGATTTCTTCTATCATGTGAGGGTGTAGTTAGATAAAATTAACACTAAATTAATAGGCTGAGTAAAGTATATTGCCCACCATAATGTAAGTGGGCCTCACCCAATCAGTTGAAGGTCAAAATAGAACAAAAAGCTGACCCTGCACTAAATAAGGGAGAATTTTCTTATCAAATTATTTTCCTACTAGTACACTGGTGCTTTCTAGTTTGGCAACAACCTGTCTGCCTCAGGACTTGGACTGGGACATCAGTTCTGCAGATATTAGAGTTGCCAACCTCCCAAAACCACATGAGCCAATTTCTTATAATATGTATGCATACATGTCTATATATATAAAAGTGTAGTATACAAATCGACTGGACGGCAGAACGACTGGCCGCTATGACCTGCACTGACCACTAGGGGGAAGACACTCAACACAGGAGCTGCCCTCAGCCCACAGGCCCCAGTTGCCCAATGGGGAATGGGGAGCTGGCGGTGGGTGGCAGCGGACTCATGTGGCGCCAAGCCAAGGCAGGTGTGAGCGAGCGCCCCGATCGCCCTGCATGTCGCCCCACACACAGAGGATGAGTGGCAGCAGTGGTGGGGGAAGGGTGGGTGGGGTGGTCAAATGCCGGCAGCTGGGGAAGACCAGCCCTGATCGCAGGCCAGGCTAGGGACCCTACCATTGCATAAATTTTGCGCACAGGGGCTCTAGTATATAAGATTATATCTTCTATTGTTGTGTTTCTCTGGACAACCCTGGCTAATACCATTGGAAATAAAGGCTCATTTATTAGGAATGAAGGAGAAACTATTGTTTCTAGGAATGGGGTGGGAAATATAGGATTACACAAGAGCATCTTTCAGTGCCATAAAGTAAGGAAGCAATAAAAAAACCCACCGAAAGAGCTCCTAAAAGCCAAATTGGAACTATCTGAGCCAGAAGTTAATTAATTAAAAACAGATAATACAGTATTTGGTTATAATCCAAAGTATAAAATAAATATTCATGGTTCATACTTATGTAAATAAATGATTGGATAATAATTAATAAGGGATGATAGACACTCTCATGCAGAGGAACTCCAAATCATTTATATAGGAGTTCCCACCTCAGAAAGGTAGAGAATAACTCTTCCCCTCTAAGTGTGGGCTGTGCACACTGACTTCCTTCCGAAGGAATAAGGGGTAAAAGAGTAACTTTACAGTAGAGAAATCTAATGAACATTTCCTCAACCAAGTAAGCAAGGTTAATATCAACAGCGATGTCATGTTGACAGTGTGTGCCCTTGATCTGATGAGGTGGGAATGGTACTTAATCTGTCTCTTTGTGGTCCCCCTAATCATAAAGAGTCAATGCACCTCACTGTGAGACTACAGACTGATTGAACTTAGGGCATACTTGTCACTGACTACATTTTTTAATCTAACTGCATAACAGTTATTATATCATAATCAAGTCCTTTCTTAATGAAATCTAATACCTATTTACATTCAGATTTAGATGAAAAAGTAATTATTACTTAGACATGCATGGACATATTTATAAGTGAAATGACCTGATACCTGGATTTTCTATAAGATGCTTCATCAAAATAAATGGAAAATACAGATATAAAAAGTAGGGGAATTAGATTAAACAATAATGATAAAATATTGATAATCATTTAATCTGGGTAATTGGTATATGTTGGTTGAATACTATTTTCTTTAATTGTATCTGTTTGAAATTTTCAATAATACAAATTTTATTTCAGTCATAAAGTAGTCTGTTATACTGAGAAGAGCACAGATATGTTTGGAATTAAATTTCTAGTGATGGGAAATATGATGTCTGGTAGAAACATTTCAGATGACCCACAACATAGTTCTAGAAAAGAAAGAAGCCCTGAGGTCAATGATATCTATTATTTCCATGAATTATGAAAGAGGAACATTAATACTTCTAACTTAAAGTTATTAAATGAACATTTTAGTTAATCTGACATGTTAAATATAAATATGTGAATGGGAGACTTCTAAATATAACCTAGTAGAGGAAAGGGAGACATTTCCCACTTCTCAGGAATTACCTAAAAACAATAAGAAGAACAAGAAATATAAAGGTTAACTCCACCCTCAATCGCACAAAAAAAATCTTAAAATCCCTAAATTAAAAATATATCTATATCACAAAGATAAAGAATTGACACACAATTGTTAGGAAAACAGAGAGAGTAGCTGCCCACAGCTGAAGATCTGAGAAAAGCCAGTGGAAACACTCTCACAAACAAACAAATCCAAACCAAGCAACAGGAAAACCACAAAGGAATGCCAGACAAAGCAAATGCTGAGGTTTTCCTACTTGCCAGGCACCATTGACTCATGAAACTCCTACTAAGCCGATGGAAAGGACACTTCCTCAGGTGCAAGTCCAAGAAGCTCATGTTGCAGCAGTCAGAACTGGGTGTGTGGTCTGGAGGCAGGTCCCCATAGATCATAAGTCTCAAGAAACTCTGAAGGCAGCATTGAACAAGGAATCAGTCCGGGCCTGCTGGCAGCATTGTGCTGGTGAAGCAAAGAAAGACTGTGAATTGTGAGCCACTTTGTAGCGATCTTTGTTGGTTTGCTGAATTAAATATTAAAATAATTATTTACCCCAACCCTGTGTCATAATGGGAAGTCCTGCCAGCCTAGATATGGTCTTGGCCCCTCCTCCAAGAATCCTTTCTGCAAATGCAGGTCCAGAAGTAGCTTACCTCATTCAGAGATGAGCACTAGTCAGAAAGGAACCATTCCAAAAGCACCAGAAGATACTTTACTTTTGTAAAAACTCAGGGAATAGAAAAAACAAAAAACACTCAACAGAAAAGTCACAATAAAATAACATTATGTTGACTTTGAAATTCAATGAAATAAACATCATGATAAAATCAGAGAACAAAGGGGCAACATAATCTATATATAAAAAACCCTAATATGCAGATAGACCAAACCACAGAACAACAGAGCAACCAGTCGCTATGACATGCGCTGACCACCAGGGGTCATGCGCAGAACAAAGCGGGCGTTTGCAGCAAGCGGAAGAGTGCAGAACATGGCGGGCATTGGCCGTGGTGGGATGGTGGAGCAGGTGAGCAGGGGCGCCAGACCAAGGCAGGGCGCTGGTTGCTGTCATTGGGGTGAGCCTCTGGTGGTTACTGAAAATTCTTTGCTCCTGCATGCTGTGGTCCTGCCTGGCACTTGCACCTGCTGCCGGTTCCAGAGCCGCCGCTTGAACTGGCTGCAGCGCCCGGTGCCAGCCCCAATTGCTCGGTGCTGTCAATGGATGGGATGCGTTGCTGCTGGCCCCAATCACCCCTCAGGGCTTTTCTACCTCCCCCTGCTCCTGAGGGATGATCAGGGCCTGCAGCCTCCTCTCACACCAGCTGCTGGTGCTGGAGCCACTACTCACACCCACAGCCAGCGCCAGCCCCAGTTGCACCCGTAGCCGGCGCCAGAGCTGCCGCTCACACCTGCTGCTGGCACCCAGCACCAGTCCCAATCACTCTGCACCGTCAGCAGATGAGAGCAGCAGTTGCCAGCCCTTATCATTCCTGAGGGCTTCTCCACCTCCCCCTGCTCCTGAGGGGCAATCTGGGCAGCAGCCGCTGCTTGCACCTACTTATGGTGCTGGCCCCACTCGCACCTGCTGCTGGCACCAGCCCCAATCACTCTGCGCCATCAGTGGATGCAAGCAGTTGCACCAGCAGAATGAGAGTGGGGAGGCGGCAGACAGGGGACCAGGGTCTGCAGCAGGAGGGTCCAGGCAGGGTCATGGAGGATGGGCCGAGACCTGCCCCTGTGCCCACCACAGCCTCACGGCCCAAAGTTCCTTTCAAGGTGCACGAATTCTTGCACTGGGACTCTAGTGAGACAATAAAAGATTAAAACATTTGCTTGTGGAGCTCAGAAAAGAAGCAGAGGAAAAACAAAACAAAACAAAACTACAGTCACCCAGCTGGCATGGCTCAGTGGTTGACCATCAACCAAGGAACCAGGAGGTCATGGTTCAATTCCCAGGCAGGGTACATGCCTGGGTTGTGGGCTTGATCCCCAGTGTGGGTGTGCAGGAAGCAGCTGATCAATGATTCTCATCATTGATGTTTCTCTCTCTCTCCCCCCCCCCGCCCCCCGCTTTCCCTTCCTCTATGAAATGAATTTTAAAAAGTTTTTTTTTTTAAAGCCACAATAGAAATGAAGGCCAAACTGAAAGTAGCATAAAGGGAAAAAGACATTGCTGAATGCACAATAAGAGACAAACAGGTGAAGCGAAGAAAAGCCAGCTGTTACGAAAAAGACAATCTTAAAGTATTAAAAGAGAATCAAAAGGTGGGAGAAAAAGTAAGTCCAACACAATTTGGGAAGGGATGTGGGAGTATAGAAGAAATAAGCCTGGCCATGATATGATCCATCTTATAAAGTTGGGTAATAAGTACCCAAGGGCCCATCCTGGTGTTATTCTACTTATCTACCTGTGTGGAATTTTACATTGAAGGAAAGGCATTTTTAACTTTGTAATCAACAAAAAGGAGCAGGACTCTTTCTATTAGGCATATTCAACAGCCTGTATTGAGCTGCACTATCTCTGCTGAGTGAAATAGCAGTTTGCAGAGGAGAGCACTCTGATACATAAGCATAAAATGCAGAGCCTTTGTTTGATTCAGTGACTAACTCCTAGCTCAGTGAATTGAGAATAGTCTTATTGTACTCAGATCAAGTCAAAGCTAGAAGGCAAGAAAATTTCCCCTGACTATAGGAAGCCAAAATGCAATCTTCATATTTCATAACTTTTCTAATAATCCAGCTGTGATCTCACTGCTTGTAAAGCCCAACCCTCCCCAATCTGCAAGCTCACCTTCCAGGACTGAGCCCAGCCCATTTCCACTATATATAAACTGCTGCCTGCAAACTCATCACACACCTGCTGCTCTCAGCTCTACCCTCCAGCCTCTCACGCCTTCTTCAGCCTTCTCATCTTCAGGAACCATGTCGAGCAAATCCACCATCAGGACCCAAAGCAGCAGCCACCGTGGCTTCAGTGCCAGCTCAGCCAGAGTCCCTGGGGTCAGCCGCTCTGGCTTCAGCAGTGTCTCCGTGTGCCGCTCCAGGGGCAGTGGAGGCCTCGGTGGAGTGTGTGGAGGAGCTGGCTTTGGCAGCAGGAGCCTCTATGGCCTGGGGGGCTCCAAGAGGATTTCCATCGGAGGTGGCAGCTGTGCCATCAGTGGAGGATATGGTGGCAGAGTTGGAGGTGGCTTTGGCTTTGGAGGTGGAGCCGGGAGTGGATTTGGTTTTGGCGGTGGATCTGGTGGTGGCTTTGGGCTCGGTGGTGGAGCTGGCTTTGGTGGTGGCTATGGGGGCGCTGGCTTCCCTGTGTGCCCCCCTGGAGGCATCCAAGAGGTCACAATCAACCAGAATCTCCTCACTCCTCTGAACCTGCAAATCGACCCCACCATCCAGCGGGTGAGGACTGAGGAGCGGGAGCAGATCAAGACCCTCAACAACAAGTTCGCCTCCTTCATTGACAAGGTGAGCCAGGAGGACCTGTCCTCCAGTGGGGACTCAGAGTCCCCAAAGTAGAGGACCAACACATGTTCTCTCAGGGGAGAATAGGGTAGAGGGGAAAAGGGACTCAGACTGGCTTCCCACTGGGATCTGATAGGCAGAAGCTGGTAGAAATCATTTAGAACTGTTGAATATCTAAATGTCCCTCATTCCAGTCTAGAAAGAATTCTCAACTTTTGATAACCCTGAAGCAAAGAACAATCCGTGAGAAAATGGAATGAATTAACTTTACCTTGTGAAGAAAATCTAAGACATTAGAAATAAAATTCCAGTGAAAACTGCTTTAGAGCTTGGGTAGTGGGGAAAAAGAAAAGAAAAGGATATTCTAGCTGGATTAGAAAAAAAGACAAACATTTAGATGTCTCATAGAAACACTAATTGATTTTAGAAACAGAGAAGGACAATTCAACGAGGATGTTTTATAGAACACTCATACACTGAATGGGCCGTTAGAATGGAATCCATTTATTAATTAGATTTAAATTTTCATTATTGGATTCTAAACATTTAGCTATGTCATAACTAAATAAATGTCGTTGTGCTTTATATCAGGGAAATACTACTTTAAACTAGTTGTGTGATTGCACTTGATAAGAGAAATGTTGAAAGTCTCTGGTAGGCTCCATTACTTAGAGGGTGAGAGCACCTCTGTGTCCATGGGGGAACTTCATGGAGGAGATCAGTGGGGTGTGAACAGTTTGAGGGAGCAGAACTGTCAGCTTGAGCCTCACAATGTCTAATAGTCCAATGCTGTTACCACACAGGCCTGCTTGGGGACCTGACAACTCATACTACTTTCTTCCTTCCTTTGTCTGGCAAATGACCACTGTGTTTCTCCAGGTGCGCTTCCTGGAGCAGCAGAACAAGGTCCTGGACACCAAGTGGACCCTGCTGCAGGAGCAGGGCACCAAGACCGTGAGGCAGAACTTGGAGCCTTTGTTTGAGCAGTACATCAACAACCTCAGGAGACAGCTGGACAGTATCCTGGGGGAGAGAGGCCGCTTGGACTCAGAACTCAGAGGCATGCAGGACATGGTGGAGGACTTCAAGAACAAGTGAGTTAAGGAGAGATATGGGGTAATTTCCAGAACTGCACACTTCAAGACCAGGTTGAGATGTGGTCATGATTTTGTAGCAAACCATGTCCACAAAGATGAAAATCACAAATGTTGCTTAAAAACAAACCTGAGAGAAATGAAGCAAAAGGCTGGATAGGTGCATAGGGAGAGTAAACAAGGAAACATTTAGGGACCACAAAAATCATCTTTAAGGCTTACTGTCAAGAAAGCTGACCTTGGATATATCCATTATGGAAAGTTCTGACCCCAGGCTGCCTTTTCTGAATCATTGTCACCACTGACGTATGCCTTTCTCATTCTAGATATGAAGATGAAATCAACAAGCGCACCGCTGCGGAGAATGAATTTGTGACTCTGAAGAAGGTGAGCTGATTACAACCAAGGGTTCATGTTTCTTTGCAAAGGAAGAAAACTCTGGTGTCCTCCCCACATCTGAGAGGACAAAAGTGGGGAGGCTAAAAGGTGGGCAGATGGGGAAGGAAGGCTCAGCTAACCCCATGGTGTTGGCTTATTCCCCAGGATGTGGATGCTGCCTACATGAACAAGGTTGAACTACAAGCCAAGGTAGATGCTCTCATGGATGAGATCAACTTCACCAGAGCCTTCTATGAAGCCGTAAGCATCTCCACCTTCATTTGAATTACTCTAATGGGGCTCTGCAAAAGGGTGGGAGATCTTGGGGTTGGGAAGCCTGTAAACTTTACAGGAGAAAATTATCTGACCATCTCATGTTCTGCAGGAACTGGCTCAGATGCAGACGCACATCTCAGACACTTCTGTGGTCCTTTCCATGGACAACAACCGTGACCTGGACCTGGATAGCATCATTGCTGAAGTCAAGGCCCAATATGAGGAGATTGCTCAGAGGAGCCGGACTGAGGCTGAATCCTGGTACCAGACCAAGGTGAGCAGTGAGTGAGCAACTGTGGAGA